GCGTAACATTTCCGTCACATGCTTGAGGTATTCGGCCAATCACAATGCACTGGATAGCTGGCCAATCAGATCACACCTCGCTTTTCAGACCTTTACTTTGTAAAAATCGACGTGTTTCAGAAAGGCGTGGCATAGAGTAGCAACAATAATGTACAATATGTGGAAAATAATGTGTTTTTTGAAACTTAAACCACATTAAACACATTTCAATACACCAAATACACAAAATAATGTTCTTTTTAGCAACATCATATGACCCCTTTAAAATATCATGGCTAGTTTTAATGTTAGCCTCACCTGAAAATATAATAACTTCAGTTCTGGGTCACCACAACTCAATATTTGCATCCATCATTATTATCATTAGATGAAATGACACAGGGAATTATGTGTATTATACAAAAAAAATAATCTTTTATACTTTTGTATATTAGTGACATCATGTCATGGCACACTGACAGTCGCGTTGCTCAAGGCATGGAACGATCACATTACAGAGAGAGAGTGTGTAAAGAATGTGGAATGGATTCGTGTCAAAGGTTCTGACTCATGCCATTGCTCTGCTTTCAAGTGTTCACTCCTGACCTGCCCATAACTCCTGCTCTGTTATTGGAGTCTATTTGTAGCATGTGTGTGCTCAATGAATGACATGACTGTATTTCCAGTTGCTCTAGTTTAGGCCAAAGGAGGAAACTTTTTATGATGTGGGTCTAATTATAGGAAAATTGGTAATGGGAGGGAAGGGGAATGGCAGTATCAAACATGAAGAGATGTCAGCGATGCCTGAAAGAAAATATATGGAAGGCTGACATTATGTAGATATTTTTATTTTTAATATTGTATATTTTTAAAATATTTATAAAATATTTATATATTTAATATTTTATTTTATTTTATTTGTCATAATGTCTTAATAAAAAAAAATTAAAAATCATAAAAACCTTCAGTTTTTTTGTACAAGATTAAATGTAAGAAATATTTACTATATTATTTTAGTAATGTGTTACATTAATTAATTAATTGGATCCTACCCTAGCTTCTCAGGCCATAGGCAGGGAAACAACCTGAAAGGATGGCCAGCCCAAGTATTTTTTTATTTTTTTATTTAATTTAATTTTTTTAAATTGTCATAGCATGTCAGAATTTGTTTTTATTTTATTTTTTTTTACAAAATTAAATGTAAGAAACCAGAATCTTATGGTTTATGCTACAGTAGGTTCTCCGTTGTTTGTTTATGACTGATTATAGTTTTTAATAGTTATTAGAACAATCAAATACTAGTTCAGTATACCACTTTCACCACCATTTCACACTCACAGTCCTGAGTTGTGGTGAGACGAATATGCATCTGGCTGTTTTCTCCATTTAAAGCGCAGC